TAAATAAATATATATATATATATATATATATATATATATATATATCCATATATACACATCAGTTTAATTCTTACTTTTAATCCTATGTCTAGGTGAATAACATGCAATTTAATCTACATATTCTGATTCCCAAGGTGTTAAACTTATGGGTTCTAAGAGGAGAGTTAGAAAAGAACTTGCCTAAAGGTTCCGAAATGAAACCGATGCGCTGCAAGCTTCTCTATTCTGATTTGCAGCTCCGACCACCTTGTCGTCGTCCTCCACAGGTCCGGCCTTCTCTTCCTCTTTTCTTTCCTTCTTTCTCAGCAATTTTCCGTCTCTCGGTTCATACCTTCAAGCTGCAACTCATTTCAACTTGTCAAACCAGCAGATTAAGCCAGTATTGCTATAGAAGAGCTTCAACATCATTGATTCCATTCTCACTGCTTTCATTCACTCAGAAATCCATCCAAGCAAGTGAAAGGTTCACAGATGAAGCTATTTCAGCAGGAAATCCGCAAGGACGGAGGTTGAGCTGATTGTTGACCATTCACACCTCAATGCTTCAAAAGTATGACTGATGTAAGTCGTGATTTGTGTATCTCTAAGCTATCTTTGCTGAATTTCTATATTTGATGTATTTCATTTCATTGTTAGAGATTGTGAGATGTTTGGTTCAAGCTTAGGGGTGTTGTGAACAGGGGAGTGTTGAATGCTCCTTGTTGTGAGTTTGGTGTGTGTATGCTTGAGAGCGAGACAGGGAGTTCTTGAAGCATACATAGTGGATTGGTTGGGTGAGCTCCCACAGCTCCAAGGTTTTTTAACCTTACTTTGAGGTTTTTCCTTGTAAAAACCACTGGTGTCAATTGAGCCTTTCAGTGGTTGTGAACTTCCATCAAACACTTGGTGAAAGTTAGGGTTTCAGTTTTTAGTTGTGTAAACATCAGTAAACTCCCTCTTATTCTCATTTTACACATATACAAAGATTAGTTCTCAGAAAGAAAAGGTTTAGTGAACCAATTCACCCCTTCCCCCCTCTTGGTTCTCTTCAATTTTACATGCCTACTTTTATTATACAAAAGAATATTCTCAAAAGTAAGCATTAATGTAATCACAAAATTGCAGAATCTCACAATAAATAGTTATAGAAGGTTCAGTGTACGTGCAATATCACAAATTACAAATAATTTAAGCTAGTAATGTAACTAATTAATACGAAGCCAAACCAACATACTATTATGCGAAATAGAACCTATTGAGAAAGGTGAGATTGAGAAATACCAGACATGTTCTTCTCAACTTCAATAGCTCCATCCGATTTGATGCTTCTTTCCTTTAAAAACCTGGAGTACCATTTTGCAGAGAGCTTGGGGTATCTTTTCACATCCTTGTCATCCAAATCCACGTAGTACAGACCAAAGCTAAACTGAGAGCCACCCAGTAACTCAAATAAATCTAAAAAGGACCACACAAAATACCCTCTTGCATTGCATCCATTCCTTCCAACATTAAAGAACAAAAGAAACCAAAAACAAGACAAATGAGATGAAAAGAAAAAGAAACAAAGTTCTTTCTAGAGTTGCAACAATGGAATATAAAAATATATAAATAAAAGAATCATATTAAATTCATAAAAATGAGGAGAATAAAGGAAAGGGAAAAGAGGGAAAGTTCATGTCATTTTTGGTTTAAAAACGAGGAAGGAAAGGAAAGGAAAAAGGACATTATTGACCCTCCAAAGGCCCAATTTAGTTTCCTTCCATCCAGAAAGGAGAGGAAAAATTATTATCCTTTTTACCATATTTTCCAAAAGTAAAATCCCTGGTTATTTTTTTTTTTTTTTTGGATATAACAAACATTTCTTTCTTTTCGTTTTTGTCCAATCTCTTTCCCAAACAAGATGAGAGGGTTACAACTGTCTTTTCATTTTTTTTTTCTTTTTTCATGTTCCCTTCTCCCCTAGTTTGTCTAAAAGGGTTAACACTATACTTTCTTTTCTTATGGGATGTAAGTTCTGTAAAGCAAAATACAAATAGGAGTGCATCTGAAGCTTCCTTTGCCCACAGCGGAATTTTACCATCAGTGATAATGGCCGCCATCTGTTACGATGATGCCAACCGCAAGGATGAATTTGTAAATCACTGGAAAAAGTTGAGTAAACCAATTTCCATGAAACATCTAGACATTCACTATATATATTTGACTGTCCTTATTGTTATTGAAGTATTTTCACTCAGAAAGTTCAGTTTCCACAACCTCAAGCCAAAAGGAGAATGAGATCCAACTTGGTGTAAAGTAGACATACCTTACAGCATCAAGCAAACCCCCAATGAAACCTTGTATAAAGTTGATCCTTGATGTATCATTTAATCCTACACTATATGGTGTTTGTTGGCCTGTCAAACAAGTAATAAGAGTTTCAACAATAAGATTATCACAACAAAGAGAGAGAAAATAGATCGACTAAAGGTTCCTCAACCAGATACATTGGACAAAAAAGAAAAAGGAAAAAAAATAAAATTAAAAAATTAAAAGATCGATTAAAGGTTGCTCAACCAGATGCTACATGCAATAACCACTGAGTAGTAGAATTGTAAAATGAAGAATAAAGCTTCATGGATTGCTTGGACCGTATGGTGAAAACATATTTTCTTCCTCATGCATGATTGTCATAGTAGGTTTATTTATTATGCAGTCCAGTAATAATGTAATATTGAATAATCTCCTTTGAGGTCACAGCTTATTTGAAGCTGGCAAGTTATTGTAGTGAAATACTTTTCAGCCACTTTCATGGACAGCAACGTGTTTTGGAATACTATCGAGTGAATCCTCTTTTTTAACAAAATAACTAAATAATTCTAGTCCTTGCATTTGACAATGTAACCAGAAATACCGAAAAATGAAAGTGAGATGCTCGAAAAAGAATCATATTGATCTTTCATAGGTGATTCTTTAGTGTGTACTAGATGCATAACAATAGATGAAAAATATGTCCTGCACCTCATTTGAAGACAGCCTACCACTACGTCGAATTAGACACAACCTGGAGACATATACATAATATATATATATAGAGAGAGAGAGGGAGAGAGAGAGACCATTTTCATGGATGTAAATAGGGGGGTTGCCATAATTTTGCTTGAAATACTCTAGAACTTCAACCAGGCCATAGGGCAGAACAGGATACTGCATCAAATAAACTGATTAAGAATGAAGTGTATAAACTCTGAAATGTAAATAACCAACTTCATAAAATTTTGTTTGAATCCTCACCTCATCTGTCATTGAAGCATCTCCTTTAACTACAAAAACAGAAAAAAATCAGTCAATTCCATTAATCCATTTTAACGGTTGTATAATTGATTGATGAACAATGGTATAAAAGCCTACTAAATAAGCAATGATATTGGGGTTCACATGATTTCATCTTTTCCTATTTTCTGTCAGTCTATTTGTCTCAGCAGAGTTCCACAGTTGGCTCATCCAAGTTTATATCGAGATCACAAGTATTCTTTTATCAGCTTATCAAGTATACTGAGTACTTACCTATCAATTCTACAGCAATGTCTGCATTGAAGTCCCTAATATCCATCTTCAGGCTGCTGGGGTTGTCCTTGATGTATGATGTGGTGTAGTGATTCAATCCTATGAAGTCAAATGAGTCCTTGACTTGTTCGGATTCAAGTTTGGTGAAGACTGGTAATCTTTTGCCCACATTTTTCTCTACTATGTCAGGATAATCACCAAATACCAAGGGATTGGCAAACCTGCAATATAAATTCAACAGAAACAATAACCTAAGGGTGGCTTTCACAAACAAAAAATATCCCCAAAACCCAAGTCAAATATTCGTTTTCAGTGCCATTATGCATTGATATATGAACATCAAAGAGATATAGACGTCATTTTATCTATATTTATGGTTTATGACTCACCATCCAATAAAAAACGCATTGGCTCTCTGGGTTGCAATCAAATCTTCAGTTGCATTTGTATAAGGAAAAAACCCAATAGTATAGAGATTTATTCCTATGAATCCATGTTGCCTGTCCTGCATCATGACATGTTGCTCTAATAATCATACACATTTGTGTGATATTTCTTTTTGTCATAACGGGTTCTAATATTTGCCGGGATTAAAAGAAAAAAATTATTGTCAAAATTGATTTATGTTCTAAATTAACAAGTAGATATAAATCCAATTTTATCTGAATTGGAAGATTTGGCTTTAGAAAGTTAAATATTGGAGAAGGGTTTGAGTTGAAACTCATGTAGTCATGCACAATAGACTCGTTAGTTAATGCAAGAAGAAGCTCATATAATACCTGGTACTTGTCCTTGTACAATCTTGCAGCGGATGCGTGTGCCAGCAGAATATTATGAGCAGCAATATATGGCTCAGTTGAGGAGTTACCTCTAGCACAGTTGAACCCAAACGGGGGAGAGCAACGCTGGGGAGGTGTTATTCCCAGATCATAACCACCCACTATAAATATATTGGCCTCGTTGAAGGTATTCCAATGCAAAACCCTATCTCCAAATTCTCTAAAGCAGACACCAGCATACTCTGTGAAGTCTTTACTGCGCACACATGGAATTGCGCATGTTGTCCTTTGTTGAAGCCATATACCACAAGTATAATATTTGAATGAACTAAAAGTAATATGAGAACTGAGGATCATACACAATTTTTCGGCTGAGATAACCTCCATATTCATCCTCAAGAACCTGTGGTAGATCAGAGTGTGATAATGTAACATGTAACTGTATTCCTGTCACGAGAATAAAGATGTCAAAAATGAAAACCAAAAAGTTATAATGAGATTTATGACTGATGTAAATTGGCTGTAACCATGGCTAGTAAGTTCATTGATGAGGTTGTTGTAATATTCTAAACCCTTTGGATTGACAGGTCCTCTTCCATCTGACAAAGAAGGCGAGCACAAGGGTGAGAAAAAGAACCAAAAAATTGCTTTATGTTTGTTCAGTTAATTGAGACATGAGTTTGGTGATCATACTAGGGATAAGTCTTGACCATGAGATGGAAAATCTATAGGCCTCCAAACCTGTATCCGCCATGAGCTGGACATCCTCCTGCAAGAGATAAATGGAAGCATTCATGTATATTGGAGCACACACCAGATAGATGACATCTATATTAACTCCTCATCATTGTGTGAAGTTAACGAAGAAAATGTAACACCCCCACAGTTTCCACGCATAAGTTGATCAGGCTTATACACGAAAAACGAGGGATATCAAAAACAATTGGCAATATACAAGCATGGAATACAAAATGATGGAAATAAAAGAATTTAGACAGGAAAGAAACATTAAATAATACAACATCCATCCGTCCTTTATTTAATACAGTACTTCATTACAACTTGGAAATCCTACGTCAGGGATCCCTAAATATAACCCTGAGAGTTCAACGTCAAAAGTAAATAAAAACTGAAACTGAAGTATTACATAAAACTTCTACCCTGCACTGGATCGTAAGAGTAGATGAGTTCGGATGATGGTCCCACACTGCTAACCTCAGCCTTGAAACGGATACTGACCGTATCCTGAAATAACAACAATGGTGGGTCAACCCCACGAGCAAGTCCTCTCTACTATGACCCAAATCAGAGAATCAAATAAATTAATCATTATGAATCGGATGAGTACTATATCTGTATACATCCTATGGGAACTATCCGATGTATAACATGACCTCAACCAGAATAGACGGTGATCACTTAGACTCACACTAGGTGGTTAAGTGTCGCCTTTCCCTACCCGGGAAATCAGCTATTATACATGGTGCACGGTACTGACAACACAGACTATAACGAACTACACAGTGATAACACCTCGCAAAGTACTGATGAATATACTGAGCATATAAATTAGGCAACACATGCCAACAATATTAATAAATATACCGAGAATGTCAATTTAGGCAACACATGCCAATAATATTAATAAATATACCGAGTATGTCAGTTAGGCAACACATGCCAATAATATTAAACCACATACCCCGACAGCCACACATCTGTCTATCGCAACGAATGCATAAGGTATAAATGAGTCTAAACTTATTAGCCAGCTCATATGGTTCTATATGGCAATACATCCATATAATATAAATGCGACATAATTAAACAGTCCATTTATTTCCTGAAATGCACACAGCATAATAATCATGGTTTAAATATCAATTAACAGTATAAACATCCCATAAGATATCATGGATAATTTATCTGACTAAAACCATGGCCTTATTTAATTTAACAGTAATGTTTGATACCATTTAATACGATAATAACACTATTTATATTTAACAATGTCGTTAAATAAGCCACATTAGTATCCGTACTGAGAACGAGCCAATAAATGCTTAGAAAAGATTAATCGGTCATAGGAATAAGTAACGGGTGTTAAAATAATAATTTCGTGGCCCGTTAAACCCGTAATTACCAACACAGTACCTAAAAATCCAAGTTTAAGGTTCTGGAATTTACAAAACAGGCCCTAGGGGTATTCTGGTAATTTCCAGCAGCTGTAGGGACCCCACACGCGCCCTTACGCGCCTCCCAGAGCCTCCCCACGCGCAGCCCAACCTTCCCCACTCTCCCACGCGCCTCCACGCGCGTCTGGCATGAGCCACGCGCTCCCACGCGCGTCTGGAGAGTCCCACGCGCGCGTTGATGGCTTCCTGCTGACGTGGCGTCCTCCGGTTGGTTGGCTGCATCCCCTTTCCTACATGCGCGTCACACCGGATCATCTCACCCTATCTTCCCTCCATCCAACGCCCACAGATCCGGGTGTACCGCGGTATCATGGACCGCGATGCACCGGATCAATCAGACTCCATTAATGGCCAGGATGTGCGCGTACACCCTACTATGGTGCGCCGCGTCGCACCGGATCACTCCGGTCGTCTCCCCCACTGCCGGCGACCGGAAAACTCGCCGGAAGGTCGCCGGAAATTGCAGAAAATGCTCGGAAAAATCTAGAAAATTCTAGAAAAATCCCTAAAGTCTTATTTAATTATTTTTAGCCATTATTAATTTCATAGGACATTAAATAAATATATACCATCCTATATAATTAAAATTCCATTAATTTAATAAAATAAAATTAATTATTTATTAACCTCCTAACCTTGGCTCTATGCATAAAAATAAGCTAAACAATTAATTTATTAATTCAAAGGGGAAAAGTAGATAATAACTTGCCTTTTTGGATTTAAAATAAATCCGCCGGTCTGCGCGTAGTCGGGTAAAATTGCCTACACCGGTCCAAGCTTCTTTCTCTTTCTCTTTTCCTTTCACTCTTATAAAATAGCTCTCTAGAATTTATACTTTGCTTCTAACTCCCTTTATTTTCTTCTAAGGCAAGCTAGTTAATTTATATACAAAATATATAATATAAATATTACAAATATCTTATTTTTTCATCAACTAACCATCCTCCCAACCATAAGGCTTCAATTCCACCTATAAACATTGATGCAATCCTATCCTAATCTCAAATTTCATCATGACATTGGTTTAATACTATTATTATTATTATTATAACTATTATTATTATTATTACTAAACTTTTATTATTATTATTATTATTATATTATTATTATTATTATTAAACTAATATAATTATTATTATTGTTATTACAAAATAAAAAAAATTATATCATCATAATACTTTATAACACAAATATAATATTCTAATTAACTAATATTGCTTAATTAAACATAATCAACAAATAAAATTAATTATAATAATACATGCACAATTAAATGAATAAATTTACTATTTTAACATACACAATTAATTTACATGCACCATTTAATGAACTTAATATAACAATGAAGCATGCACAATAATAGGTACAGGAATCCACACATAATTGAATTTAAATACACTAAACTCTTTAATTAATTACGGGGTATTACATTCTCCCCCCCTAATAACGGAATTTCGTCCCCGAAATTCACTACATACCTGTATTAAAGAGCTCTGGATACTTGGCACGGATAATATCTTCCCGTTCCCAAGTAGACTCTGTAGCACTATGATGACTCCACTGTACACGTACTAATAGAATAGTCTTCGTGCGCAGTATCTGATTCCTACGATCGAGAATACAGTAAGGTTGTTCCAAATAGGTTGCATCAGGTTGCAACTCAATCTCACCCACATCAATGTGTTGATATCGATCTTCGTCCCGTAGAAATTTTCGCAGCATAGATACATGAAAAACATTATGTACCCTATGAAGATTATCTGGTAGAGCCAGACGATAAGCTACTGCCCCAATCCGATCTGTAATCATAAAAGGACCCACAAAACGAGGCGATAACTTACCCTTTGACCCAAACCGCATTACTCCCTTCGTAAGAGAAACCTTAAGCAAAACCTGATCACCAACCTTAAACTCCAAAGCACGAGTTCGACGGTCAGCATAACTTTTCTGTCTGCTTTGAGCTGTACGCATCCGATCCCTAATGATAGCGATCTTTTCTGACGTGTCCTTAATAAATTCAGGACCCAGAAAGTTGTTCTCACCAACTCCAAGCCAACAGACAAGAGACCTACACGGTCTACCGTACAAAGCCTCAAATGGTGCCATACCAATAGTTTTCTGATAACTATTGTTATACGCAAACTCTGAAAGCGGCAAATATTTCTCCCAATTGCCCTTAAAATCAAGGACACATGCCCGCAACATGTCTTCTAAAATCTGATTAACTCGCTCAGTCTGTCCATCTGTTTGAGGATGATAAGCAGTGCTAAGATAAAGTTCTGTACCCAAAGCCTGCTGAAAGCTTCTCCAAAATCCTGAGACAAACTTCGGATCTCTATCTGATACGATGGACAATGGTACACCATGAAGTTTCACCATTTCTGCAATATACAACTTAGCATACTGTTCTGACGTAAAGTTTGACCGAACAGGCAGAAAGTGAGCGGACTTGGTCAATCTATCAACAATGACCCAAATAGAGTTGTGATTATGCTGTGAAGTAGGTAATCCCTCTATAAAGTCCATGGAAATACTTTCCCTTTTCCATTCTGGTATGGGAAGTGGCTGTAACGATCCTGGCGGTCTCTGATGATCAATCTTAATCATCTGACAGGTGCTACATTTAGAGACAAAGATAGCTATATCTCTTTTCATGCCGGCCCACCAAAACTGGCGTTTCATGTCCTGATACATCTTATCTCCCCCTGGATGTACCGAGAACTGAGAAGTGTGTGTCTCTCTCATCACAACATTTCTCAAATTGTCAGCTGAAGGCACAATTAAACGTCCCTTGTACCTCAATCCTCCATCAGTCCCTATAGAATAAAAAGGAACATCTCCGGAGGCTAACTCCGAAACCCGATCAATACACTGTTGATCTGAGAGTTGCGCTTGAATGACCTGATGAATGATAGAAGGAGTTACTACCACACATGCCATAAAAGCGTCTGCTAACTCATCAACCGTCTTCAAAGCATCCCACTCTGTTGTAAACAAAGCTGAAAGGCTGACATAGGGTCGGCGGCTGAGTGCGTCTGCTACAACATTCGCTTTCCCTGGATGATACTGAATAGAGAAGTGATAGTCTTTCACGAATTCCAACCATCTGCGCTGTCTCATATTCAGTTCCCTCTGTGTGAACAAATACTGTAGACTCTTATGATCGCTAAACAATCGAAAAGTCTCCCCCAAAAGATAATGTCTCCAAATACGCAAGGCAAAAACCACTGCGGCGAGCTCTAGGTCGTGAGTCGGGTAATTAAGCTCATGAGGCTTAAGTTTCCTAGACCCATAAGAAACTGGTCGCTCTTCTTGCATTAACACACAACCCAAACCCCTCAGAGAAGCGTCGGTAAATACTAAATACTCGATTCCACTCTGAGGTGTGGCTAAGACAGGTGCAGAAGTTAACTTACTCTTCAATTCAGCAAAAGCAGTCTGACAAGAATCATCCCATACAAATGGTACATTCTTCTTAGTCAGATGAGTAAGTGGACCCGCAATTTTGGAAAATCCCTGGATGAACCGGCGATAATACCCCGCCAATCCCAGAAAACTGCGAATCTCTGTCGGTGAGGTAGGCTGTCCCTACTCCATAACGGCCGCAACCTTGGCTGGATCTACTGCTAACCCTTCTTCTGACACTACATGTCCCAGAAATTTGACCTCTTTCTGCCAAAATTCACACTTCTCAAACTTCGCAAATAACTAATGTTCTCGAAGTGTCTGCAATACTGTGCATAAATGTCTGGCATGGTCCTTCTCCGACTTAGAGTAAACCAGAATATCGTCAATGAAAACAATGACAAACTGATCTAAGTATTCTCTGAATACTCTATTCATCAAGTCCATAAAGACAGCTGGAGCGTTCGTTAAACCGAAAGGCATAACACGAAACTCATAAGATCCGTACCTCGTGAGAAATGCTGTCTTTGGAACATCTTGTTCTCTGACTTGTAGCTGATGATAACCAGACCTTAAATCGATCTTTGAGAAGTAAGTAGCTCCCTTCAACTGATCAAACAGGTCATCAATTCTGGGCAACGGGTACTTGTTGCGAACAGTGACCTTGTTCAGTTCTCTGTAATCAATACAAAGACGAAGAGATCCATCCTTCTTCTTGACAAACAGTACTGGTGCTCCCCATGGTGAAGTACTCCTGCGAATAAATCCCTGGCTGAGCAACTGTTGAATTTGATCTTTCAACTCTCGCATCTCCACTGGTGCCATTCTGTACGGCACCTTAGCAATAGGCGTAGTGCCTGGAGCTAAATCAATAACAAAGTCTATCTCTCGACTCGGTGGCAAGCCTGGAATTTCCTGGAATACATCCTGGAATTCCTGTACTACCGGGATGCTGTCAAGAGATACCGCAGTCGCTTCCTGTGAGTCCTCCTCAAGAACGAATAAATAAGTGCTAGGCCCTCTATCAGGTTGTGGTACAACGAGAAGATACATCTCCTGTCCTGGTATAGAAAATACAATAGACTTTTCGTAACAGTTAACCTGAGCATGGTACTGAGATAACCAGTCCATCCCAAGTATAACATCATACGAATGCATATCTAACACTAACAAATTTGCAAGAAATCGAAGCCGGCCCATATCTACAAGGATATCACCGCTATACTCTCGTAAAATTGCGCCAACTCCCAATGGTGTATAAATATTAAGAGGTTGGTCACATAACTGAGTCGTCATACCAGATAAGATAACAAAAGATCTAGACACAAAAGAATGTGATGCACCAGTGTCAAATAGTATACGAGCAGTTCTACCATGTATAGAAAACATACCCTCAATAGCCTGAGGAGCCTGCGCATTATGTGGCATGAAGTTATAAACTCTGCCATGATGCAATTGCTGTGGAGGTTGCCCCGGAGGAAATGGTGGTGCTGGAAGTGCCGGAACATTTTGAACTTGCCCACGTGGCATCGGTGGGGCCGGTAGAGGAAACGGCTGATTAGGTCTCGGCTGCCCATACTGTCCCTGCTTAGCTTTGGGACACATCTTGGCCGGATGCCCAATCTCTCTACAGTGATAACAACGTCCCGTAAAAGGACCTGTCTGCCTTCTCTGTTGATTTCCCGACCACTGTTCCTGTCCGGTCTGAGGTATCCCACCTTGTCTACCCTGATTAGGGACTCCATCCCTCTGCACATCTGGGTTTCCTTTGTTTTTCTTCCAAGGTTGATGTCCTTGAAATCTGCCCCGATCATTGGACTTGGCACCACTGCTGCTTCCTTTCTCCACTGTCTGGTAGTCTCGGTTAGTCCGCTTATCTCCCTTGGACTTCCGGTAATCACTCCTCATCTGGCAGTGCTGTAAGGCGGCATTAACCACCTGGATATAAGTAGTATATGCCGGACTACCTAAGATCACCACTTTAATCGGCCATATCAACCCCTTCACAAAGCGGTCTCGCTTCTTTTCTTCCGTATTGACCTCCTCTGGTGCAAATAATGACAGATTAATGAACTTCTGTTCATACTCAGCCACAGTCATATCTTCCTGTTGCAGATCCAGAAATTCAGTCTTCATCGCTGATCTTACTGACATAGGAAAATACTTGTCGTCAAAGCGAGTCTGAAATTCAGCATAAGTCAATCTGGTCCTGTCTTCGACAGTAGTAATAGACTCCCACCACTGCAATGCATTGCCTATCAGCATAAACGTAGCTAGCATCTGTTTCTGCACTTCGGTACAGATTACCATCCGAAGATGACGCTCGCTCTCCTGTTTCCACTGATATGCTAACAGGACATCTGTGGACCCTGCAAATGTCGGTGGATTCCCCCGGATGAACGAGTGACGAACTTTGTCCCATGACATTGGCTGTGCCACTGGTTCAGGAACAGGTACTATCGGAGGAGGTTGCTGGTTTCGTAGAGCAGATGCTACTCCTGCTGCCACAGCTCGTGCAATGATATCAGCAACTTGAGGAGAAAATTCCTGATTCTCATTTTGAGTGGGGGAAATACTGCGATGACGGTTCGCATTCCTTGTCCCACGCCGAGACATCCTTCTTTTAAATTCAGAAAAATCTAACGTCCGTACATTATAATGGACCGACTAAAAGAATACAAAGAACACTAATACTTAGGCTCTAATTATCAGAATACACAACGCGGAAGTATAGTAATCACAGATCCCTAAGACACTCGAACCTGGAATGCTCTGATACCAACTGTAACACCCCCACAGTTTCCACGCATAAGTTGATCAGGCTTATACACGAAAAACGAGGGATATCAAAAACAATTGGCAATATACAAGCATGGAATACAAAATGATGGAAATAAAAGAATTTAGACAGGAAAGAAACATTAAATAATACAACATCCATCCGTCCTTTATTTAATACAGTACTTCATTACAACTTGGAAATCCTACGTCAGGGATCCCTAAATATAACCCTGAGAGTTCAACGTCAAAAGTAAATAAAAACTGAAACTGAAGTATTACATAAAACTTCTACCCTGCACTGGATCGTAAGAGTAGATGAGTTCGGATGATGGTCCCACACTGCTAACCTCAGCCTTGAAACGGATACTGACCGTATCCTGAAATAACAACAATGGTGGGTCAACCCCACGAGCAAGTCCTCTCTACTATGACCCAAATCAGAGAATCAAATAAATTAATCATTATGAATCGGATGAGTACTATATCTGTATACATCCTATGGGAACTATCCGATGTATAACATGACCTCAACCAGAATAGACGGTGATCACTTAGACTCACACTAGGTGGTTAAGTGTCGCCTTTCCCTACCCGGGAAATCAGCTATTATACATGGTGCACGGTACTGACAACACAGACTATAACGAACTACACAGTGATAACACCTCACAAAGTACTGATGAATATACTGAGCATATAAATTAGGCAACACATGCCAACAATATTAATAAATATACCGAGAATGTCAATTTAGGCAACACATGCCAATAATATTAATAAATATACCGAGTATGTCAGTTAGGCAACACATGCCAATAATATTAAACCACATACCCCGACAGCCACACATCTGTCTATCGCAACGAATGCATAAGGTATAAATGAGTCTAAACTTATTAGCCAGCTCATATGGTTCTATATGGCAACACATCCATATAATATAAATGCGACATAATTAAACAGTCCATTTATTTCCTGAAATGCACACAGCATAATAATCATGGTTTAAATATCAATTAACAGTATAAACATCCCATAAGATATCATGGATAATTTATCTGACTAAAACCATGGCCTTATTTAATTTAACAGTAATGTTTGATACCATTTAATACGATAATAACACTATTTATATTTAACAATGTCGTTAAATAAGCCACATTAGTATCCGTACTGAGAACGAGCCAATAAATGCTTAGAAAAGATTAATCGGTCATAGGAATAAGTAACGGGTGTTAAAATAATAATTTCGTGGCCCGTTAAACCCGTAATTACCAACACAGTACCTAAAAATCCAAGTTTAAGGTTCTGGAATTTACAAAACAGGCCCTAGGGGTATTCTGGTAATTTCCAGCAGCTGTAGGGACCCCACACGCGCCCTTACGCGCCTCCCAGAGCCTCCCCACGCACAGCCCAACCTTCCCCACTCTCCCACGCGCCTCCACGCGCGTCTGGCATGAGCCACGCGCTCCCACGCGCGTCTGGAGAGTCCCATGCGCGCGCACGCGCTGCCACGCGCGCGTTGATGGCTTCCTGCTGACGTGGCGTCCTCCGGTTGGTTGGCTGCATCCCCTTTCCTACATGCGCGTCACACCGGATCATCTCACCCTATCTTCCCTCCATCCAACGCCCACAGATCCGGGTGTACCGCGGTATCATGGACCGCGATGCACCGGATCAATCAGACTCCATTAATGGCCAGGATGCGCGCGTACACCCTACTATGGTGCGCCGCGTCGCACCGGATCACTCCGGTCGTCTCCCCCACTGCCGGCGACCGAAAAACTCGCCGGAAGGTCGCCGGAAATTGCAGAAAATGCTCGGAAAAATCTAGAAAATTCTAGAAAAATCCCTAAAGTCTTATTTAATTATTTTTAGCCATTATTAATTTCATAGGACATTAAATAAATATATACCATCCTATATAATTAAAATTCCATTAATTTAATAAAATAAAATTAATTATTTATTAACCTCCTAACCTTGGCTCTATGCATAAAAATAAGCTAAACAATTAATTTATTAATTCAAAGGGGAAAAGTAGATAATAACTTGCCTTTTTGGATTTAAAATAAATCCGCCAGTCTGCGCGTAGTCGGGTAAAATTGCCTACACCGGTCCAAGCTTCTTTCTCTTTCTCTTTTCCTTTCACTCTTATAAAATAGCTCTCTAGAATTTATACTTTGCTTCTAACTCCCTTTATTTTCTTCTAAGGCAAGCTAGTTAATTTATATACAAAATATATAATATAAATATTACAAATATCTTATTTTTTCATCAACTAACCATCCTCCCAACCATAAGGCTTCAATTCCACCTATAAACATTGATGCAATCCTATCCTAATCTCAAATTTCATCATGACATTGGTTTAATACTATTATTATTATTATTATAACTATTATTATTATTATTACTAAACTTTTATTATTATTATTATTATATTATTATTATTATTATTATTAAACTAATATAATTATTATTATTGTTATTACAAAATAAAAAAAATTATATCATCATAATACTTTATAACACAAATATAATATTCTAATTAACTAATATTGCTTAATTAAACATAATCAACAAATAAAATTAATTATAATAATACATGCACAATTAAATGAATAAATTTACTATTTTAACATACACAATTAATTTACATGCACCATTTAATGAACTTAATATAACAATGAAGCATGCACAATAATAGGTACAGGAATCCACACATAATTGAATTTAAATACACTAAACTCTTTAATTAATTACGGGGTATTACAGAAAAAGTACATTACTGCTTGTCCATTGACTATAAATTATATCTTTAACAGAACCATGCATTAATTCAAGATTGAACAAAAAGTGAAAGCGAATATCTATAAGATCTAGTGTGTTTCTGCTAATTCTATTTGGATGTTGCCGATAAGACACAGAACTTAGAAGGCATTGAATTGTACTACCACTTGCTCAGCATGATGGTATGCCATAGAAATTTTAATTATTATGCTCCGTTTGGTAAGAAGGAAGAAAGAGAAGTGGAGGGAAGATAAGAAGGAAGAAACAAACTTTCCTTGTTTGGTAGAAAGGAGGCAAGAACAGAAGAGAAAAGAGGATGGATGAGTCATCCTTCCTCCTTCACAAATTTTTATCCCTCCACAAGATGCTGTGAAAAAATAAATAAATAAATAAAATAATAAAATAAAAATAAAAAAAAGCAAGGCTATTATGTTTTTAGATCACAAAACTTTCCTTATAATTAACACTCACTTATCTTCTCTCCTAACAAAAAAAATTATGGGATTATCTCATTCTCTTCTCTTCCATCCAACCAAACAAAAAGAGGGAATGACACAATCTCTTCCCTTCCATCCAATTTTCTTTCATCCAATTTTCTTTCATCCAATTTTTTTCCTTCCTACCAAATGAAGCATAAGGAACAATCTTTGAAAGCTTTCACAATCAAGTGAAAACCTATAAAGTACATTTTTTTTTTCCAAAAGTAAACATGTTTTACAATACATTAACATAATAACATCCAATTGGAACATGATAGTTTGGAAAGCTCACAATATTGAAACAGGAGTATTTCTACAATTGGCCTCTTAATTAGTTGCTTTTATGTGAAAATGACTTTTATTATCAATTGGAACATGATAGCTTCTCAAGTTTTTCATGATCATTAGAAACAAAAGTAAATTTTGAACTCATAGATGTAATTAAATATATCATAATATTCTTCCACACTAGCTACTGCTGAAAAGGATTATTTAACCTTGGAGGGGAGAAGGAAGAAAAAAAAAAATTGAAGAATATGACTAAGCATACACCTTGTACTTGTGGTACCCATCGCATGTCTTTTTCCCCTTCTCTCCTTGCAAATTTCCTGAAATTTGATTAATTTGGACCCAACATAGTTAATATAATTGTACCAAACAATATAGCAACTCTGCATTTTACTAACTTTGGGACTCACATATCAATCACACCCCGCAAAAGTGAAAGAAATGTCACAACCAAGATACTGCTAGAATAGAAAAATACGTAAAAAGGTACAAAGAGGTAAAGAAGAAAATATACCAACAGGATAACTAAAGGTGTCCCAAATGCTAGGAGTTCTTCCATCTTCTGATTCAGCACCTTCAAACTTTGTATATATATACACATACATAACAAAGTTCAACATATTTCTTGTATACAATAATTGTTTTTTCAACTTACTATATATAAAAAAAATTAAGAATATGCATTATATATATATATGTGTGTGTGTGTATGGATCAGAATTGGGACAACAATAAGATTGCTCCTTGATCATTTTAAAATGGAAAACATACATCTAATCCACTTTAGATCCCGCAATGATTGAAGTCTTGGTACACTGGACAAGCTCTTTATAGAGATATATATATATATATATATATATATATATATATATATATGAAAAGAAAGACAAAAATAAGCATGCAAACTTAACAAATTGAAAGTACCTGAAACGCTGATGTTCCTGCACCAAAAACGAACAGTGATGGTGGTGGAAAGTCATCTCTGGTAAAATTCTCTGCGCTGAAAACAAGTACCACTAAGTTTAGCAGAAGGCATAGCCAGAAAGAGAGGCTCAGCATTGTCACAGCTTCTTCTTAATTCTTTGGGCTTATCACTCACTATTCATTCATATATAAGAGCCAAAGGCCCTCTGTCCACAAATTTATTTATGTCAGCCAAACCATTGGTCCTTTTCACCTTTTTAGACGGGGGAATATTCTTTAATCTAGAAATTGTACACTGTACACTATCATATTTTTTCTTTTTCTTTTTTTTCTTTTTTTTGTATTTTTTTGCATTTTTACTTTATATGATTCGATATATTTGATATTATTTTATTCTCTTGCTTTTTAGCAGCACTCCAACTTCTCGAGTGTTTTTTTTTTTTTTAAATTACCTCAAACTTAAATTTGTGAAAAAAAAAAAAAAAAAAAAAAAAAAAAAATTCGGTCAACCTAGTTGTTTGAAATAATCTAGAAAACATGAAACCAGAAAGGAATAAATCTCAAAAAAATAGGACATGAGTGTTGACACCTTTTTTTGTAAAATTGCATGAGTAGTGACATGGAAGTGTTTGAACTACAGGTGGATGGTATTTTTCACATGGATTAGAGTTGGAATTTCACGTAAGAGTGATGAAGATTGGAGAAACATTTGAATTAGTTACTGAATAGGGATCAAATGCTAGTATTTATCTTTTAGTTGGTCTTAGTTAAATATTAGTGGTTATCCATAGTTTAGTTTAATTTAAATTTATAGTTAGTTGGATTATAGAGTTGTAATGTAAGTGAAATACTTATGTGTAGAACTTGGTTTACGTATTTTTCTATAAATAACCATAGAGGCATGCTGAGAAAGAGGTCCAGCACCCTCATAATCTTTTATTATTATTGTTGCTTTCTCAAACTCCTTCCTCATATAACATCCTTGCTATTTCTATCTCTCTCCTTCTGTATTTCAGTCTCGTTCTATCTCTCTCTCTATTTCTTCTCCCTATCACCTTCTCTATTTATATCTTTCCCCCTTTTATATTCTCAAATTGTTACTATATTTATTCACTAATAGAAATCCTTTTAATTAAGGCAATCCTGAACTCACAGAAGAGTATATTTGTTCTCTTTCTCTTCGCATAACCTGAAAGTCAAAATTCTCAAAGAGACTATTATTGACTAAACACACTTGAACCATACAATTGGTTCTAGCATGCTCGCAACATATCAATTTAGAATCGGCTAAGCCAGTTGATTTTAGTGTCAACATTCTTGGCACGCCCCGTGGGACCCCACTAGGTGACTGATTTATAGTAAAAATATGCAGTCGGCTTCTCAACCGACGTACGAATATTCTGATCTATCATATTAGCCAATGTATCAGTATTCTAATATGTTATATGGTTGGCCAGAAAATTATCAGCAACCAGTTGTTGATTATTGGCAGACGCCAACAAATGATTATAGGTAGATGCCAACAGTCGATTATCGACAAGTTCCAGCAGCCGATTATTAGCGAGTGGTAAATCAATCACAACAGATGATTTATCAACAACAAAGTTGGATAAAGTATCAGCCTGGTGCTGAAATTAGCCAACCTTGCCGATCTAGACAAGAAATTTTACCAGAAAATCGGCAGCAAAGTTTGCCAGAATATTACCAGTCACCAGCAGCCGATTATTAGCAAGTGGCAAACCTGTAACAACCCAAACCGGGGGTCCGATCAAATTGTAGATCTTGAAGAGCTCTTTAATTTGCCGCAAACGACACAATCAAACTCCCTATGGTTAAAGAGCAATCAAGACTTGAAGTTTAGAAGAAAAGAAAAAGAAAAAAGGCAAGAAAAGAGAAAGAGAGAGACATGGTCGGGAGAGTGAGAGAGAATGAGACCAAAGTGGCCTCTTGGCCACAAAGTAAAGCTTGGTGGTGGGTTCCGCTTTAAAAATATATTTTCTTTTCTTTTTAATTTATACCACTAATATATATATATATATATATATATATATATATATATATATATATATATATATATATACTGAGGATACAATAAGTGATATGGGCCGGTTGTAGTCCGCGGACGTGGCATCGAGGCAAACAATTTAAATACAGCCCATGCAAAAGCACTACAGAATGGGCCGAGCTCGGAGGATCCACCGAAGAAGACCAAGCCCATTGGAAAGAAGGCCCAAAACTGATAGTCTAGCAACACTTGTAATTGCCTATAAAAGGGCAGTGAAGAGAGTAAAAGAGGGGGAATTTTGATTTTTATTGAAAATGTAATCAGATTCTGTCAAAAGAGAGATATAAAATTATTTGCATCTTCAATTGGCGCCGTCTGTGGGAATGACGAAGATGATCGATTCGAGTTTGATCAATATCATGTTGATTCAAGCAAATTCGTGAACAAAAAGTTTAATTTCTGGAAGTTGAATCCAGATCAGTGAGATTGTAGTTTGTTCAGAGAAGATTCTTGATTATTGTTGATTTTGAGGCATTTGCTTCAGAATTACGCAACTGTGATTTATTCAATTGCAGTTAGATCCGATGAGTTCAACGCTAGAAAAGCTCAGATCTAGCAAACGGTGACCACGATTCGGTGAAGTTAAGTCCAGATCTGACAGAATTCACATCGGTGACGCTCAGATCTGATTAGGAATTCGTGATTCATGCCTTTGCTTTGCTCTGGAATCATGATAGGGGGTGAGAACTCCAATACGGTAGAGAATGTCCAGCAAATGAAACTTGATGAGTTGATGAGCATAATCGAAGCTCTCAGGAGAGAGAATGCAGATCTAAGGACTGAAATGCAGCGTCAGGAAGTTCTGATGATTCCGCGACCGCTCCCGGCAGGAGAAGAAGTTGCACGTACCGATGCGGCACATCACGGTGAGGAAGTAGGGAACAATCAAACAGATCTTCACCGCGAGGAGGTCCGGCCAAATGATTTGCCGCCAAATCCTCGTCGTGTTGATGATCGCAAAGGATCAACTCATATGGATCCACGGCATGAGCAGATCAGGCGAAACGAAGCCATGACTTTCGATCCACGTCAAGAAACGCCTAGCCAAGGAGAAGCAATGGAGTTTGATCGTCACAAAGCTATATCGCCGTGGCACAAAGAGTTTATTGAGGACAGATCATTCGATCCGACTTATCGACCTTCCATGACGACGTTCGACTATCGCAGCTCCGAGAGGAGATCTGTAGATCAGAGAGCAATCGCGGGGTTCTAGAGCGAAAATGAAGCCCTCCATTCAGCAGCTCGAACGGTTGATTCACCGTTCACCGATGAAATTCTGAATGCCCCGAGTCCAAGGAAATTTTACATGCCAGTTTTCATTTTGTTCGACGGAACGACCGATCCGATTGATCATGTGTATCACATCCAGTTGAAAATGGCTCTGAACACTGAGAATGATTCCTTGATGTGCAAGTGCTTCCCTACAAGTCTAGCTGGACCAGCGCTCAATTGGTTCAAGAACCTGCCGAGGGGCTCAGTGGGTAGTTTCCGAAGCTTGTGTGATCAGTTCATAAGCCAATATTATGGAAATAAGCATCCAGCAAATGACATTTTGAGCCTATTCACAATGAAGCAGCATGAGGATGAGCGTCTCCAAGCTTTCCTAACCAGGTTTAACCTTACGAAGAGTATGATTATTGAATGTCATCCTTCTACCACGGTTCAAGCGTTTATACTGGCCGTGACTCGTGGCACTCCATTCCACACAAGCTTGGTCGTGAATACGCCGAAGACTATGGATGAACTTAATGAAAGAGTTGATGGATTTGGGCGCTTGGAAGAAAAAGAGGCAACTAACGCTCGGAAGACATCCGTCATATCCATAGAGGAGAAAACCAAAGCAAAGATCAGACAAAAGCAGGTTCAGCCACAGTGTCAGACCTTGTGGAAATCTGAGAAGAGGCCTAGGGAGGAAGAGCTGGTTACTCCGTTGAAAGTCACCTTAGCAAGTCTGTACCAAGAAAATAAAGATAAGTTTCGATCTCCTTTACCGATCAGACAACCCCTCGAACAGAGGGATCAATCTAAGCTGTGCATTTCATTCTGATTTTAGCCATCAGACTAATGAATGCATGAACTTAAAGAGACAGGTAGAGATGCTGATAGCCAGAGGGGAGTTCGCAAGTTATATTCAAGGCCCGGCGGCGGAACAAAACCAACCAATGGAGCACTTGAATAGGAATTAGAAGTCGAACTCTCACAATACACAACCAGTTCGAATAATCAATGCAATTCACGGTCGACCTGATCTTACTGAGGAGTCAGATGAACTACTACGAACACGCCTTCGCCAGGCATAGATGAAGAGGAGGATAGGCAGTGTCAACAATCTGCACCAACAGAGTGCATCAACACAGATAAAGTTTGACAGAACAAATCTATTGCTTGTTCAGATCCCTCATGAGGACCCGTTGGTCGTCAGTTTGACAGTAGCCGAATGTTTGGTACGCAGAGTTCTGATTGATCCTGGAACTAGTGTGAACGTCATGCCGAGGGACATATTTGATCGGCTCGAGATCAAGCCGGATCGGCTTAAGCCCACTGGAAATCCCTTGCTAGGGTTTGATGCAAAACAAGTGGAGCCCATCGGTACGGTGGAGGTAGCAGTACACGCTGCAGAGAGGGTTCTGATGGATACCTTTGTAGTTGTCGAGATTCATCCCTCTTACAACCTTCTGATGGGTAGAGGGTGGATCCACAGAGTTCAAGGTGTTCCTTCCACTCTGCATCAAGTAATGAGATGCCTGGGGCCAGACGGAACTATGGTTAGAGAGTAATCAAGACTTGAAATTTAGAAGAAAAGAAAAAGAAAAAAGGCAAGAAAAGAGAAAAAGAGAGACATGGCTAGGAGAGTGAGAAAGAATGAGACCAAAGTGGTCTCTTGGCCGCAAATTAAAGGTTGGTGGTGGGTCCCGCTTTAAAAATATCTTTTCTTTTCTTTTTAATTTTACCACCAATATATATATATACATATATATATACACATAATAATTCACAACCACATAAAATACATAAAATAAAATAAATGAGGTGCAACTAGACCCAAAATAAAATTCTCATACACAACAATTCCGGTAGCGGATCCCACCCGGGACCGTCCGGCCCGAAAAATGAAAAAATACAAAAATGACCACCATTGCATTTCTAGGAGTCCTGAACTCAAATAAATGCCACAATCAACTCTCGAACACACCTGGCACACTCCACAGTGTCCATCACACAAAATGAGGAAGGATGAAAATACCCTCGAAAAATTTAGAACATTCTAGGAAATGGAAAATGGTGGAAAACAAAAATATTACAAAACCAATCACCAGCAGCCAATTATCGGCAAGTGGTAAATCCCCAAATGGGAGAATTTAATCAAAAGGTATTTGCCAAAACGAGGGAGGAGATTAAAGCAATGATGGCTCGGATATTGGCTACCCAGAGTTACCATAATCAAGCCGAAAGCTCAGCATCTCATGAATCAATTCTTCAACATATTTCTTTACCATTGACACACATCCCTTAGGTGCAACAAACTACAATGGCAGGGCCTAGCCAGCCAAGTGTAACTGCTAGTTTACCCGATGACAATCTACCGATAATACCGTAAACACCATTGATGCTGATTATTCTAATAAATCAACCGCCGGTGATTCACCAGCAAAAACAGAATTAGCAATGCTCGCATGCAATGTTGATTCCCCCTCAGAGAGAATAACAAGAAGGGAGCAATTAGAACCAAGGGAGAGTTAATCCATTAGTTCCACTAGTACCACCGGCGGCTGTCAAGGGGTAGATAATAGCAAACCCACAACAAGATTGGGTGGATCCATATGCTCCACTTCAGCCTAACAATGATTTTGCGACTCTCAACGATAGAGAATATCAGCCATATGATCGGCACGATTATTATCGGTCACCATCAAAATTTTAGCCACCAGTATTAGATTATCAGCAAGTTCCAACGGCCGATTATCTACAGGTGGTAAATCAGTCACAATAGATGATTTATCAATAACAAATTTGGAAAAGCTATCAGCCTGGTACTGATGAATGGAAGGGTACAAATTGGCTAAAAGCAAAACAGCCTATATACCAGAATTCTTTGCCGATTGTGATATCTAATAATTGGCAAAAACAATCATCAGCTGAAAGAATTGTTTTAATTCGCTGTGCTCAGCCCAATTTCAAGAAAAGAAAAAAAAAAGATTAGCCGATGTTAATTTCAAAAGGTTTACTTAGAGCTTAGTTGAGAAAATCAACTGAGACAAAATCAGTTAAAAGACCAATGACTGCCACGGGGCATGTGATTACTAACCCTCAACAAAAGTTAGTTGATCCATACGCTTCACTTCAGCCTACCAATTATAGTAAGTTCATGCTTGCCAATCAATGGACTTTTGGGCATGATGCAGTCCTGTCGATGGAGCTGAATGCAAAATCAATTATGATGAAATCGGCTAAAAGGAAATTAGCTAAGAAAACTCCTTCCTGGCACAATGTCATAGAGATAATAGGCAGATCGGCTAGAATGACGCTTCACAATAATTTAATTCCTGTCGATCATGATCATGACTTGCTAATGGAGTTAGAAAATGCACAGGGGCAAGTCCTTCCTGGGTTTATGGGCAAGTGATATCGACAAACTTTCTGAGAATCTATGAAGAAGCCTAAATCGGCAGATTTGGCTAATATGAAATAACGATCATCTTAGAGGTGATTCAGAAGAAATAAAGCTTTGGAGCTTGTTGATTTGCAATCTTATTCCAAGTGACTAGCGCAACCCTTGTTCAAAATTTCCTTTCAATGTACTTTAAATTTCAAATATCTTATTAGCTTAGGCAGCCAACAACTAATAAGACATTTAAAATTCGGGGCATTATTGACACCCTTTTTCGTAAAATTGCATGGGTAGTGACGTGGAAGTGTTTGAAGTACAGGTGGATGGTATTTTTCACGTGGATTAGAATTGGAATTTCATGTAAGAGTGATAAAGATTGGAGAAGCCTTTGAATTAGCTAATGGATAGGGATCAAGTGCTAGTATTTATCTTTTAGTTGGTTTTAGTTAAATATTAGTGGTTATCCATAGTTTAGTTTAATTTAAATTTATAGTTAATTGGGTTATAGAGTTCTAATGTAAGTGAAATACTTATCTGTAGGAGTTGGTTTATATATTTTTCTATCAATAATCATAGAGGCATGCTAAGAAAAAGGTCCAGCACCCTTAGAATCTTTTATTATTGTTGTTGTTTTCTCAAGCTCCTTCCCCATATAGCATCCTTGCTATTTCTATCTCTCTCCCTCTCTATTTCAATCTCGTTCTATATATATATATATATATATATATATATATATATATATATATATATATATATCTTCTCCCTATCACCTTCTATATCTATATTTTCTCCATTTTCTATTCTCAAATTGTTACTATATTTACTCACTGATAAAAGTCCTTTTAATTAAGGTAATCCTGAACTCACAGAGGAGTATATTTGTTCTCTTTCTCTTCATATCGCCTGAAAGTCAAAATTCTCAAAAAGACTATTGTTGACTAAGCACACTTAAACCGTAAAATTGGTTATGGCACGCCCGCGACAGATCAATTTAGAATTGGCTAAGACAACCAATTTTAGCGTCAACACATAGATATGTTAAAAAAATAGGATAAATTGTATGAGATATAAATTTGTAATTGGCATATTTTGTTGTCAAAACGAGTTCGATTGAGTTGTAAATTTTCAATTCGATTTGTCAAGCATCAAGATCGGAAGCGGAATTGAAGAAGTAATCATGTTCATACTTTGATACACTCTGGGATGATGAGAACAATGCTTTGGGAAGGTAAGAGAATATGTGAGGACACTTTGGAATTTCAAAATTGCTAAGCCCGACCAACTTGAACCGATTCAACCACCCTGAACTAGTTCAAGTGTCAACGTTGTTTTCCTCGAAAACTCACTGGCCAACTTGAACCGGTACAACCACTCTGAACTAGTTCAAGGTTTTCAAACAATTTTGATAACTTAGTTTCCTGATCTATTTTGGCTTCCTATTTTGCATAGACTCTTACCATATTAATTATGCACAAAATTAACTTATTTTCCAAGATCAATTAGGTTTTCAAAAGTCTATAAAAACATGTTTTCTCACTAGGGATTTCACGACTTTTTGCACATAATATTCTGATTTAATTGAGAGCCATATTTGTGAGATTTTTTAGTATTTTTCTTTGAGAGCAATAACACTATATACATGAGTGATTTAGAGTGTTGTTCTTATTCTGATCGAAGTACAAATTTGAAGATATCATCAATATCGATCAAAGAAAGTAGAATTCATTCCTTCTACAACAAATTCAGATTTAAAGAAGAAAGGTGTTTAGATCACACTTTGAAGGGGTTAAAGCATTTTGCGAAGTGTTATTGATCTACCAATAATTCTTCTACAAGGTTGAAGAAGTAAGTCTGAAGTCAAGAGTTGTTGAACGGGGGAGTCGCAAAGCCAGGGGTGTTCAGCAAGTTAATTGGGTCTTGGTAGATGATGAGCACCGAAAAGTGCGTATTTAAACCCCTTAAGCTTAGGTATTCTAGTATATTTATCTATCTTACTTTCCCGTTTTAGATTGATTTCGTATTATTTCTATTTTCAGGCACTTATCCAGAAAATAAGCTAACTCAGCCAAATAAGAGCTTAATTGAAGCAATTCTGGGATTCAACAAAGAAAGGAGCAAAGTGGAGAAAGAAGGAAGCAAATGAAGCCAAAGTTGAGAAGCAGCAAACTTCGATCGATCCAAGTTCAAGGTTCAATCGATCGAACAATGATTGATCTCAACACTTCAAGATAGATCCAAGCCTTGACCCAAAAGCATAAAGTTTTAAAAGTTCGATCGATCCAACACCATCCTTCGATCGATCGAACACTTTTGTCCTTATTCAAATGATTGATCCTATCCATAGCTGTACCACCCACTAACCACTTTTGTCCTTTTCCCATAAATATCTCCCTTAAATATCTCGGATTTGTCTTTTTCCAAAAAGCTCAGCCAGTTGGATCGATCCAGCCTAAGTTCGATCGATCCCACTTACTTTCGATCGATCCAAGTTCAAGGCTCGATCGATCGAACTTCCTCCAGTGCGAAAAAATTAAAATTCCATCTTATTGAAAGTTGTCCTTTATCCAATCATTAGGGAATATTGTGTGCATGACCCCAACTCATTTTGGGTGTCATTTTAACCAACCTATATAAGGATAAGGATTGCTTTTACAAAAAAAAAAAAAAAAAAAAAAAAAAAAAAAAAAAAAAAAAAAAAAAAGGAGCCAACATTTATTTTCATATCATCTCTTGGAGAGGAAGTTTAGAGGAGGAGGAGGCTAGAGACACCATTGGAGTTCTTCATCAACAAGGAGCAGATTTTAACCATGGAATTAGCCCTTGAGGGTTGGAGCATCATCACCATGAGTGGCTAGACATCCTCTTAGGGCTAGAGTTAGCCCCAAGCATGCTTTCTATAGCTTAATCTTGTGTATTATTGAGGGATTAGTGTTGTAATTGATGTTTTGACACTTTGATATATATAGATCTTGTTTATTCAATAATTTAGGTGGTTTAATACTTCCAATTGATCATTTCATTCTATCCATATGTCTATGTATACTAAAATAGATGGTCATGTGCTTGTCTCTAGATTTTGTGTTATTGATGCATGTCTATATGTATTGATGCTATAGATTTGGATATTGTCAAAACATAGTGCTTAAAGGAGTGCTTTTGTGATTCTCT